AAGCACCTTAAGCCACTCCAAGGAACACGCCGCTACCACCAGTGGCATATGCCTCTGTAGGTGTTCTGAAGCCGATGTCGATGATTCCAATTCCACCTGACATCGTTGAGCATAAGCCATGTAGAAACCCTAAAAAGCAAAGCGTGCAGTTGGCCTCGATTTTGTATGGGAGACTGCAATTTGGTTCCCACATCATCGGCTCAAAAAGTAATAGTACAAGTTTTAACTGCAGCCATCGGGCAGCAGTCTGCTTGATGTATTCTGATGTCATCTTTGCATGCAGGCCAATGGCTGAGATGCAACTTCAGTCCCTTGCTTCACTCGTGACTTCAACCATTGAGAATATAGGGATATCTTGAGATATCTAGAACCAATCAGGAGATGCCAAGCTTTGCGTCTTGTCTTTGCATCGTTTGCCCCATGAAACCGAGAGACATCCTCTTGCCTTCTCATATCTTCTCATTCTATCAGCTGATGTCTCCACCGGCGTATCAGTTCGGCTGTTGCTGAAGCCCGTGATAGGTTTGCTGTGTTCTCTCGCTTTGCCATCTTTGATTTCTTGTCTATTTTTGGGCTCGCCTGTGGGTATTGCTGTTGCTTGGTGACTGCCCAAATGTTCACGATCTTTGAGTTTGTTGATCTTTGACCATGGTTGTGTGTCGAAATTCCGGGAGAAGTGAAACATCAATTAAATTGTCTTAGGCCGCATTCAAATTCTGAGTGTCCTTCCATCGACAATTGCTTTATCGAAACGGCCGGACAAAATATGCATCTGACCGTATCTGATATCATTGATATCTGAATTCGCCTTTTATGCCTTTTCTATCTCAACACATTTCAACAAGTGGCATCCCACGACATCCCATGCCGGCCCGTGGCATCCCATGCCCGTCCCCTCCTGAGCGGATCTTGGACACCTGAAACAGCTCCTGCGTTGGGCACGGACATGGGGACCCATGGGGACCCATGGGGCTAGATGGGGTCCGAAGTGCCAATTGCAAAGCGTTGTGCCCGTTGTGCCCGCTGTGCTCGTTGTGCCAATTCCATAGCAATTTTGCAACATTGTGCAGCGTCAGCATTAGTAAACATATGACTGCGGCAACTGCTAAGAAACATATGGAAGAAATCCACCAAAAAATACAAAAAACGAGGACCCCTCTCTTGGTGACACAGCAATTTTGCAGCGCGAAAGAGGACGGGCCGGCAAAAACTTTTTGAGTTCAGGATGCGCTTTGCCGCTGATTCTATTTTCATATGCACAAGCACGTATACTTTTGTATCTACATGATTCTACATGCCCGGCCCCCCGTATAGATTTCAGGCCATCTTTTGGAACGCTTTCATTTCGCTGCAGTAAAATGATGGGTTTGTTCTTGGATTGGTTTGTTCAATATGTTATATTTGAAAATCTCCCAAAACTCAGATTTTTCCCGAGAGCGTCTGAGCGAAGGGTCCTTCTAATAGTGGGGGTCTGTCAAACATTTTCACATATTCACATCTTCACATAACATCTTACAATCTTCACATCTTCTCATCATCTTCTCATCTTTACATCTTCTCATCATCATCTTCTCATCTTCACATCTGTTCATCTTCAAATCTTCTCATCTTCACATCCTCACATCTTCACATCTTGTCATCTTCACATTCTCTCTTGCCCTCTTCATCTTCACATCTTCACATCTTCACATCTGTTCATCTTCACATCTTCTCATCTTCACATCCTCACATCTTCACATCTTCTCATCTGCTCATCTTGTCATCTTCACATTCTCTCTTGCCCTCTTCATCTTCTCATCTTCACATCTTCTCATCTTCACATCCACACATCTTCACATTCTCTCTTGCCCCCTTGCTCTCTTGCCGTCTTGCTCTCTTGCCCTCTTGCTCTCTCCTTCTTTTCTATTTCTCTCTTGAAGGCGCGGGGCAGTGCCAACGAGACGGCACGAAACGCAGCCCTTTCGCACGAAACGAGGTTCGATCGCCAAAAACTGCGGTAAAATTGCGATTTGCAAAGCGTCCGGGCGCAACCCTTTCGCACGAAATGAGGTTCGATCGCCAAAACTGCGGTAAAATTGCGATTTGCAAAGCGTCCAGGCGCAACCCTTTCGCACGAAATGAGGTTCGATCGCCAAAAACTGCGGTAAAATTGCGATTTGCAAAGCGTCCGGGCGCAACCCTTTCGCACGAAATGAGGTTCGATCGCCAAAAACTGCGGTAAAATTGCGATTTGCAAAGCGTCCGGGCGCAACCCTTTCGCACGAAATGAGTTTGATCGTCAAAAACTGCGGTAAAATTGCGATTTGCAAAGCGTCCGGGCGCAACCCTTTCGCACGAAATGAGGTTCGATCGTCAAAAACTGCGGTAAAATTGCGATTTGCAAAGCGTCCGGGCGCAACCCTTTCGCACGAAATGAGGTTCGATCGCCAAAAACTGCGGTAAACTTGCGATTTGCAAAGCGTCCGGGCGCAACCCTTTCGCACAAAATGAGGTTCGATCGCCAAAGACTGAGGTAAAATTGCGGTTTGCAAAGCGTCCGGCGAACCCTTTCGCACGAAATGATGTTTGATCGTTACAAACTGTGGTTAAATGTTCGATTTCACGTTCTTTCGCAAAGCTTCTCTTCTGTGTGTAAAAGCTTCTGTGTGTGGAAGTGTTTGTGTGTAAAAGCTTCTGTGTGTTAAAGCGTATGTGTGTAAAAGTGTCTGTGTGTTAAAGCGTATGTGTGTAAAAGTGTTCTGTGTGTAAAAGCTTTTGTGTGTAAAAGTCTTTGTGTGTAAAAGCTTCTGTGTGTCAAAGCGTCTGTGTGTAAAAGTGTTCTGTGTGTAAAAGCTTTTGTGTTTAAAAGTCTCTGTTTGTGAAAGTGTTCTGTGTGTCAAAGCGTCTGTGTGTAAAAGTGTTCTGCGTGTAAAAGCTTTTGTGTAAAAGTCTCTGTTTGTCAAAGTGTTCTGTGTGTAAAAGCGTCTGTGTGTGAAAGTGTCTGTGTTTAAAAGCGTCTGTGTGTAAAAGCTTCCGTGTGTAAAAGCTTCTGTGTGTAAAAGCTGTAAAAGCGTCTGTGTGTAAAAGCTTCCGTGTGTAAAAGCTTCTGTGTGTAAAAGCATCTGTGTGCAAAAGCGTTTGTGTGTAAAAGTCTCTGTCTGCAAAAGCGTCGGTCTGTAAAGTTCTGTGTGTAAGAAACTATGTTTATAGGTCAACCAACCTAGATCAGCCAGCAAACACCCCGCACTTGTTTTCTTGAGCCATGAAATGTCAGATACAATACAATGGACTACAAACACAACTTTACAGGGAGGTATGGGGAATACATCATAGTACTCCCGTAAAAACACACCCCGTTTACCGCAACTGCTTAGCAGTTACGGTAAATTGTGTGCCTGTTGTCCGCCGCCGCACGTCGACCTGAGAAGGGCAAATGTACAACTACACAACGGTCAATGTGAGTGCCTAGATGAGGTAGGACATCGGATGTCAAGGCAATGGACGGATGCAATGAGGCAATATGTCGTATGCTCTTTTTGTGCCGGAGGTAGGCTTGAAGTTGCACACAGCATGGCCATGGCTCCCGCCAGGCGTCTTCAAATGAAGTGAAGGAACATTATATACCATTCCTTTTTTTTTATGTCACTCTGAAAAGACACCATGGCAGGAAAAAAAACTGTACAGCCATGAAAATGGTGCGAATTGATCTGAGCTCTTGCCTTGAACATCCAATTGCATGGCTTGAGAAGTCATTGAAGCAAAATTTTAATTCATTCAACCTGTTCGGAAGTTAATGCAATGCGATGAGATTGAGTGGATTGATGCTATATGTGCGTCAAAGCTTTGGTTTGTTCAACTTGGGTGCGATGCCTGACGAATTTGTCAAAGTCAGGCATGCCTCCCGGCAAGCAAATTGAAAAAGAAAGATATGACCTAGATTCCTAGATGTCACTGCGGGTCATTCAGTCTTTCAGGATCAGCGCAAGTACCAGCCACGCTGCTGCCCCCCGCCTTTGTATTGGCCTTTCCATGCCTTTCCCACCTTGATCACGACCATACGGTCCACCACGAGCTGGTTTTCCAAGATTGGGCTCAAACTGCTCATGTTGTGGCCGCTGATGTTCAGGCAAACTGACCGATGCTGTAGCATGTGGAAGACGGATGAAGACGGACCTCCCGGTCGTCACCTGTGGTCTCGGATTCTTTGTGGGTCTGGCCGGACGCAAAGTCAGCCCATTGAGACTTGCTGAAGGCGATCAACTCCTTGGCAATGGCGTCGTCTGCATCAGGAAGAAAATCACGGTGTCTGTCCCCACCCATACACGATTGGCAGGGGCCTCTGTTTCGGTTTGATGAACTTGGCGACGTACACCGAGAACTGTCCAATGTCAAGGAACACGCCTCTGTGCGACACAAACACCTCGGAGTGAAGATCCAAAGGCTGGTCGGGCTCCCGCTCCGACAAAGGAACGAAGATCAACTTGATGGCCATCTCCAATTTCGCACCAAGGACCTGAGCCTTGCTGCGCTCAATGGTGGGGCTGACACAGCCTGCAAGTCTTTCGATGAACTGGAGCGCCTCAGGGACAAGGTTCTGATTGGCCGCGTTGAATTGGAAGAAGGGATCACGAACCAATCGATCAATCAAGTCCTTGAACCCACGCTTTTTGAAGGCACGAACATAGTTCCTTGCCATGTCCCTCAGATTTCCGTAGGTACTCCTTGTTCTAATTGCCGTGGATGAAGAGGAACCTTTCTCGGGCTGTCGGGCAACTCTTTGCCGTCTTGGATGGTTGAAGATGACCTTGTCCATCGAGAAAGGAACACCACGTGTTCGGGCCGACGCCTCCCGGCGGGCAACCTCTGTGGCGATGTTGGCATCCGTCACAGGCTCCATTTGGCGGAAGCACTGTGGGCATTTGAGATGCCCGTCCATCATGAGGTACCCACAAATCGGGTGTCTGCAACGAACCTGTGGGAAGTCCTGGATTTGGCAGATCGAAATGTCCTTGAACTGAAGTTCAAATCCATGACGACCATAGCCTTTGCCCCAAATTGCCACCTCCCACTCCGTGGCGTCCACGACGTTGAAATCCACAGGCGTCCGTGCTCGTCATTGCGGCCATCTTGGCAATGGTGTAGCCTTGCACCAGTTGAGTTCCAGATGCAGGCTCACCCTCCCGAGTGGCAGTGCTCTTCTCGACCTGAAGATCTTCTCGCCTTGAAAACGGCAGCAGCTTGCCGAACTCGATTCGGGCCTTGATCCCGTCAAAGTTCACCTTGGCGTCCTCTGTGAACATCTCCATTTTGCTGATGAGCACGTCGGTCGGGTCGAAGTTCTCCTTGGCTTCCTTCAGAATCTCTTGGTACGCCTTTCTGTGGTTCACATAGGCGCGATTCACGAAGAAGCACCAAGCCATATAGCGGATGATGGAGAGGAATGCCGCCTGGTCACATGTGTGATAGATCACACGTGGAAAATCTTCCCAAACTGGCGAGTCTTCCGGCCTCGCAGAAAATGCAGGATGCACTGACGGATCATCCACCTTTGCAAGGTCAAAGTCAGGGTCGAAAGTATACATGGTTCGAATCATTGAAGCCATGCCGCCCTGCCCGACGAGGAATGCACGGTGCCCCTGGATCGCACGGATCCGCACCGGCGTCCACTTCAACTTGCCGGAGGAGAGGCTGTTGACCTGAACTCTGAACCTTCTCATCGGAGAGTTGCGAACAACCATCAACACCTCTTCCTCGCGCTTAAGTCTCCCTGCAAATGGCGAACGAGGGCACGAAAATCCATTGACAGGTCGGATCTACGGATCTCAGGCAAAGGACGTCGATGAAACAATCTGTGTCCTCGCAAGTAGTCCGACATGGCGTGAGAGATCGAGCTCAAACGTCCGAAATCGACCCGTCTCTCAGGCACCCCGATCATGTTGCTCGGCTCGATCCAGACCAAATCCTGGGCAGATGTGAACTTCGACGTGTCGAACTCCTGGTGCCGTGGTCCGTGGCCTTCGTCAACAACCTTGAGCTTCGGCTTGGGCATGGCCTCTTGGCCGGCTTCGCCTTGGGCTTCAGCTTGTCGGTCGGACCAGAAGGCACGGCTCCCGCCGGCGCAGAGGGTGAGCTCGTCTTCCACTTCTTCACAGACGACGTCCCGGTGCTCTTGACCATCCTGTTGCCCTGGTCATCCACGTCCATTGGCTCCGGGTCAACCCGTGCATCAGCATCCTTGCTGCCAAAGGCGTCAAGGGATGAAATCTTGCTGATCACGGCCATGTCGTCATCATCGTCATCATCGATGCCCTCGGCCTGGCCTTCGTCGACGTCATGGAACTCCTCCTCTTCAATGATCTCCACGGAGGCGACGGTCTCGAGCTCGTCGATGTCGAACTCATCGTCAGCCTCATTGATCGGATCGCTGGCCACGACTCCCGGCGGGCGCTTGTCATCCTCGACCATGTCCCAGCCAGTGAACTGTTCCTCCTTGTCGTCGGCCTCATAGGATGGATCCTGCCAGTCTTGGTCCGGCTCTTCAGAGAGTCCAAGGCGCCGGGCTTCAAGTCGGTCCTCCAAGGTGAGCGCTTTGACCTTCACGATCTCATCATCAGAGTCGGCGTTGTCTTGGTGCACAGGCTCCAAGGCTTGATCCTCCTCTGCGATTTCTTTGACCAAAGGCTCAACCTCCCGGTTGGTGGTGGCAGTTGCAGTTTCTTCGGCCTGCAGGACCCAATTGAAGATCTCGACATCAGCATCCAACATGACTTTCTCCATGTCCGGCATGGCTGGCAGATCCTGAGCTGCAGGTTGGGGTAGTCCTTCTGTTCCTGCAGGTTCTCAAGACGAGGTAATCCCCTGAGATGGTCATCGACGCTGATCAACTTCAGATAGGCCAGATGACAATCGGCAACAGCCATCATGCAGGAAGTTCGTGATGTACTTCCTGTTCAGGGCTTCGTCCTCGAGGTGAACCTTGTCGTAACGGACAGTTCTTGAGAGCATAATCGTGGTGTCAAGAGTTTGAATTCCATGGTCCTCACGAAGTGCCCGTATGTGGGTCTTCATCGTCTCGTTGTATGCGGCAGGCAATGCAAAGAGATCAGCATCTGCGTTGCCAATGGCGACGATGTCAAGGATCCTCGGCTCTTCACGTTTCAGTCGGCCCAGGTCATTGACTGACCTCTCAACCCGAGCCTTCTGCCTTTCGCACCAGTTGGCCGTAACCTCGCGGTCGGCAGCAGACTTGTTGTAAGCAGCCCGATGGATCCAGTGGACTCCACGATACCCTCCCTCACCGTAGACGTCATTGCCGGCCCATCCGATGATCACCAGAACTGGTAGTACTGGACGGCCATGGGTTCGATTGGCGGCCTCGATGTCGTCAATCTCTTCAGGTACTGGACAATGTGGTTGAGGCCTTTTCCCCAGAGCATCTTGGTGTAGATCCCACGAACATCTCCCCATGGTTTGAGGAGATCACCCCCACTAAGACCACAAAATGAAGATATTTTCACTTTAGGCACTTAATGAAGATATTAGTAGTTATATGAACTTATCATAGAAGTGTTTTTTCTTTATTTTTACTTATTTTCACTTATTTTTCAATGTTTTTTTGATGATCAGAATTGATTATAGACGATGCATTTTTCTGTTATATATTTTTTGAAAATAGTTGTCGACCTTTTTGTTTCCTGTGGAATATTTTTTCTTGCCTTTTTTCATTGTTTTTTTTCATTCTTTTCAGGCATCATCCTTTTAGAAATCACCCTTTTCAGGATTTATCCTTTTCAGGAATTATCCTTTTCAGGACTTATCCTTTCAGGATTTTTTTTATTCAGAATGAATCCTTTTCAGGAACTATCCTTAACAGGAATCTTTCTATTCAGATTGATTTCATTTTCAGGAACAATGCTTTTCAGGAGTTATCTTCTACAGGAAATGGTTCTTCTACAGGAATATGCGCGGCTGCGAGTGACACAAAGAATCTTGAAGTACATCTGTGGAGAAATCATTCAGAGGCAAAAGGAAAAAAACATATAAAGGATGTTCTTGGAAAGAACAATTGCTCTTTTGATGTGTCTTCTTCAATTGTATACGACTGCCCAGAATGAGATCTTTCACAACATGAGGCTTCGGTTACTACTTCCAAACTACATAATTCAGGGATGAAGATGGATACCTAATTTGCAAAATATTCTATTATATTTTTTTGTTGGTAAAAGATTTAAAGCTAGCTGGCTTGCTTTTTGTTTTGAAAATGTATTTTCTATAATTGCTATTTATGTTTTATTGTTCATATTGTTCTACAATTTACTTTCTTTTGATTTCGCGTACTTTGTTCATACGGTTTTTTTGCTGAGATTTTGGTGGTTGATTAATCGCAGGGAATTATTAATCCTAACTTGACATTATTATAAATACTTACTTATCCTTTTTTTTTTTTTTTTTGTTTTTCTCTATAAATATTCCTGAAATTTCTGAATTATGAATTTATGAATTTCCTGAAATTTCTGAAATTTCTGGAATTTTCTGGACTTTCTTGATTTTCTGAATTTTTCTGGGGGGGCCAGGGGTGTGGGGGAATTTCTGAAATTTCTGAATTTTCTGAATTTCTGGGAATTTCTGCAATTCTGCAAGTCTGAATTCTGAATTTTCTGAATTTTCTGAATTTTCTGACTTTTCTGAATTTTCTGAATTTTCTGAATTTTCTGAATTTTCTGAATTTTCTGGGTTTCTGAATTTTCTGAATTGTTTTCCTTTTAATTTAAATTGTAAATTCTGAATTTTCTGAATTTTCTGAATTTTCTGGGTTTCTGAATTTTCTGAATTTTCTGAATTGTTTTCCTTTTAATTTAAATTGTAAATTCTGAATTTTCTGAATTTTCTGAATTTTCTGGGTTTCTGAATTTTCTGAATTTTGTGAATTTTCTGACTTTTCTGAATGTTCTGAATTTTCTGGGTTTCTGAATTTTGTGAATTTTCTGAGTTTTCTGAATTTTCTGAAATTTTTGAATTGTCTGAATTTTCTGAAATTTCTGAATTTTCTGAATTTTCGGAAATGTCTGAAATTTCTGAGTTTTCTGAATTTTCTGATTTTTTCTGAATTTTCTGAATTTTCTAAATTTTCCTTTCCAGGAAGTATCCTGCAGAGAACTATTCCCTACAATTTTTTTCCTTTCCAGGAAGTATCCTGCAGAGAACTATTCCCTACAAAATTTTTCCTTTCCAGGAAGTATCCTGCAGAGAACTATTCCCTACATTTTTTTTCCTTTCCAGGAAGTAAGAAGGAAGAGAAATATTAAATACAACAATTTGGTGTGTGGGTGTTTTTCTGGGTGTGGGTGGGGGGGGGGTGGGGGTTCGGGCGGGGGGGGGGGGGGGGGGGGGGGTGGTAGTGTGGGGGGTTTTTGTTTTTTTTTTTTTTTTTTTTTTTTTGGTTTTTTTTTTGTTTTTTTTTTTTTTTTTTTTTTTTTTTTTTTTTTTTTCCTTTCCAGGAAGTATCCTGCAGAGAACTATTCCCTACAAAATCTTTTCCTTTCCAGGAAGTATCCTGCAGAGAACTATTCCCTACAATTTTTTTCCTTTCCAGGAAGTATCCTGCAGAGAACTATTCCCTACAAATTTTTTCCTTTCCAGGAAGTATCCTGCAGAGAACTATTCCCTACATTTTTTTTCCTTTCCAGGAAGTATCCTGCAGAGAACTATTCCCTACACAATTTTTCCTTTCCAGGAAGTATCCTGCAGAGAACTATTCCCTACAAATTTTTCCTTTCCAGGAAGTATCCTGCAGAGAACTATTCCCTACAATTTTTTCCTTTCCAGGAAGTATCCTGCAGAGAACTATTCCCTACATTTTTTTCCTTTCCAGGAAGTATCCTGCAGAGAACTATTCCCTACAATTTTTTTCCTTTCCAGGAAGTATCCTGCAGAGAACTATTCCCCACACAATTTTTCCTTTTCAGGAAGTATCCTGCAGAGAAATTGTCCCTACATTTTTTTTTCCTACCCTTTTTTTTTCCAAATAGGCGCCTTCAGAGAATTGTTCTTTAGCAGCATATTCCTGTTCAGGAAGGTTTCGTCAGAAAAGTAGTGTTCTGAGACAATATTGTTTCGTCGAAAATCAACATTCCTGCGAATCTATCAAACACACATAAAAATCAAATTTCACTTCTTATCACTTCTTTTCGCTTATTTTGGCTTATTTTTGACTAATATTCTACTATATTTGCTTATATTTTCCTTATTATGTTATAAGTTCACCTAAAAATTTAGTGGAACTTATAACAAAATATTTTTGAAAAAACAATTTGAACAAGATATTAGAAGGATAATAGTAACTTATAGTATACTTATAAATTCATTAAGTGCCTAAAGTGCAAATATTTGCATTTTGTGGTCTCAGCAGAGAAGCAAGAAGTTTTGCCAGCGTTCGGATCAGGCACAAGTGCCAAAGATGAATCAGACACAACAAGCAAATCGACCTCGCCTCCCGGCGGGTAAGGACATTGGGCAAGATAGCCATCAGGGGTGTTCTTGAAGACCTCACTCAAGGTGTCGTAGGCACCTTCAGAGTTCCCTCCTCCCAACGTGGGTTCGACGATGTTGGCAAGAGGTAAACGACAGCCTTCCATCTCTTGAAGCAGGACCTGCGGATCATCCCAAGTGGCGACAGCAATCGCCCCACGCATGGTGTTGATCACATTCTCCCATTAACAGATCCTCTCGAGCATGGCAAGCCTCCCGGCGACAGCACAATCCTTGGCCATACGAATCGCACGAGACAGCATGGTGGCAAAGAGTGAGCGAGAAGTCACGACGAGAGCACAACAAGCGGATTTGAGCGAAGGTTGCTGTTGGGTCAGGGCTTTGCGCATGGCATCAGTCATTCGAAAGGTGTATTCTTCGGTCTTCTTCAAGGCTAAACCTCTGCCTTGTGCATGACGCCTTTCACAACGACACTGAAATTTGGACAATGCTTTTCCGATTCCAGAATGATTTGTCGCCACAGTCCAAGGCTTCTTCAACGGATCATCATTTTGATTCTTCATTCCAAGTGCACAACCATCAAAGTGATATGCAATCATCTCATACTGAACCAACAACTTTGCAACTTTTGTCAACTTCCAATATCGACATTTTCGTGGCCATTCTAGTGCAATATGTACTTCACAGTTTAACATTCGGAGAAAGGACTTCAAGGAGATCCAAAGTCTGTCAAACTCTCTGACATGTTTCAATACCTTCTCACGTGCACTGGGGTTTTGCATGTTAATATATGTCCATGGTGTCCCCCCCGTGCACGGAAGGCTGATCCATATTAATGGCTTCACATCACCTTTGAATGAGTTGACATAACTTGCAATCCTCATTTGATTGTCCACTTCGTTCAGATCAAATTCTTTGGTGAACTGTAGTACTTCACAACCGTCAGACCATTTTCGATTGGTTTGTCTCAGTTTTGATTCCGGATGACAGCACGCTTGGCAGCGGGTCCCCCCGTGCTTGGCATAGCAATGCTAGGAGGCGGGGCAGCCTCCGTGGCGGATGCCAAGTCTTTCTGTGGGAGTACTTTCTATGCAAGAAGGTTTACAGCCAGTCTCCATTTCTCTGCACTTACAAAGGGCTTAGTGATAATGTCTGCAGCCTGAAGCATGCTTGGACCATGGACTAGCTTATACCATCTCCTTTTGAATTGTTCCTCCAACCAAGATAGATTGACGCGCTGGGTCTTGTCTGTGTGACGGAAGGTTGGTGATTTTCCATTTTCAAGTATTCTAATGGTA